TTCTTGAACTGGGGAGCCCAGAACTGGACACAGTACTCCAGATGAGGCCTCACCAGGGCAGTGTAGAGGGGAAGGAGAACCTCCCTCTTCCTGCTGGCCACACTCTTCTTGATGGACCCCAGGATCCCATTGGCCTTCTTGGCAGCCAGGGCACACTGCTGGCTCATGGTTAACCTGTCGTCCACCAGGACACCCAGGTCCCTCTCCGCAGAGCTGGTCTCCAGCAGGTCCACCCCAAGCCTGTACTGGTGCATGAGGTTGTTCCTCCCCAGGTGCAGGACCCTGCACTTGCCCTTGTTGAACCTCATCAGGTTCCTCTCTGCCCAGCTTTCCAGCCTATCCAACACTCCATTCCAGGAATGATAACAAACACTTTAAGTCAGTAACATAGTTTAGTATCAGTAAGAGTTACAACAGCTGTGAAGGATGCTGCAGGCAACCTGTTTACGTGTTACCTGACGCTATCTATGCACTACGGTACTGCGTGACTCAGATGACATAAGACATTGAGGACAGCACTACCTTTGAGGCACTGATCACTGTTGTGTTTAGGGACCAAAGTGATCCCTGTGCTGATGTGTTTTCCACCAATGCTATATGGAAATACGGAAATACTGTGTATTTAGTTGTTTAGTTCTTAAATAAAAGTGATTTTCTGTTTCACTCTGTTAGCCGCTTCCCTGTCTAGCTCATACAAATTATCTTCAAAGTAAGTTGCTGTGCTATGTAATTATAGTAATTTCTTACTGTGTGTTTCTTACCTGTCTTTCCTTTTTGTTGAACTACAGCCTTGTTTCGAAGCCTGTCATTGCTAACGTGTGAGATATTCAGAGCTCTTCTGTGAAGAGGCTTGGGCAAATATCAGAACATGTATAGACTTCTGGCATTCCAGATAGTTAACATACCCGTCATTTTGAGTTTGGGAGATGTAGAGTGTTAATCCTTGTTTAAACTCTGCTATTGTAATATTTTTAGGGAAGAATGAAATCTGGGTTTTTCTGAGTAAAGTTTTTTATGTATGAAGATGATTATTTTCTTTGCTACTTAGGTCACAGCTGTTTATTCATATAAAGCAAACACAAGTAAAAAATAGAAGCTAAAATTCTAACCCCGTCTTGTCTCTTTGTTTCTAGTTCCATGCACATTCTGTACTTTGCGTTACAATGTTTGTGCATGGGACAGCTGCATTCCAGCCCTAATGATCTGGCTTTGAAATGTATGAGAATGAGTGATGTTGCCATCTAGTGTTTAATGAACAAAGAAAGTAAGATATTTTATCTAAATGGATACTACAGATGAGGAAGCTTTCCTTGCTTCCATTCTTTGAGACTTCCTTGGCAATCTTAGGGACCTAAAATTTTTTAAAAACCTAATCTTAATTATTTTATTACTAACAAAACTGTGCCATGTCATGCCTACTAGAGGTATTTAAGATTTCCAACAGCTGTAGTGTTCTTGATTATTTTATGAAGCAGCAAGGTTTGGAGAAAGTAACAAATACATTCAGAAGAAGACCTATTTTAACAGAATGGGAGGGGTGTGTCGCTACTGAAGTACCCCTGAACTGAGCCTCTGGGACCCCAGCCCTGCCCTGCACGTAAAGGGTGCATCTTTGTAGGAGCATTGTGTTGTGGTAAATCTGCACATTACTTATTCTGATAATTTTTCCAGTCTATAAATGTAATTTCTGGAATGGAGGAAAAAATTTATAGTGATATAGAAATTATGGATCTAATCCCAGCCTCCTCATCTAGATGAAATTCCTTGACATCATTAAAAATCTTAGCTGAAGAATTGATGCAGGTTTAGTATTTCAAAGAGTAACTTTATGCAGTTGATGTATCTATGGCAGCTACTGTTGTTATGAGCAGGAAATCGACAAAACCATCTTTGTTCAGTTGAGTATTCAATGAAAACATAATCTTTGAAAATCCATTGTGAAGAACGCATCCTGTTTGTTTTTAGGCAACTTTTTTCTGTGACTGCGAGGATGAGTATCAGGGTTCCCTGTGTGAAGAATTCGATGCTTGTCGGAGCCAGCCCTGTCAGAACAACGCAACCTGCACCGATGTAGCACAGAAACACGACGGGAACAATTTCACCTGCAGCTGCCCGGCTGGTAGGTTTTGTATTACGCTGTGAATAATGCATTTCTGCTTTAACATTCAGTGCATATCTTGTGCAGAGCAGTGAGCTGTGCAACTTCAGGTACTCGGGAAGCAGGAAAATACAGCAACATAAGGGCAGTTCTTCAAGGCTGTGGAAGATTCTTCACCTCTGACCAATGCCATTGAAAGCACGCATCTGAACCATAACCTAATGAGTGAATTATTCATAACTAATAGAACTTCACCTACTAAGAAGAGATGGCCAAAATTTAGTTTACATCAGTTTTTTCTTAATCTGCCCTTTTCAATAGAACTTTTAAGTATACATTATAACTAACCTTTCAATAAACATGCTAGTAAACTCTTTCCTTCATTTGCACCAGTTGAGTGGAAGAAAATTCTCTCTGCATTGTGCAGTTGCTGGATTGTTCCTCAGAATTCACTTAAATTTTGAAAACTTTTTAAAAATTCATAAACTAAACTTCCATTTTTTCTCTCTTGCCTTAAAGTCGCTATAGTGAATGTGCAGCAAGAAAGGGATTTGTATTTGTATTTTTATATAATGACCTGGATTTATACTGCTCTGAAAATAAGATGCGAAGTTATTATTCAGGTGTACTTTATTCTATTTCATTAATTTCTCAAAAGATCAACTGTCACTTTAACAAGATATGTAAATACAGTTGAATAATGATTTAAATATGAGATGAGAATGATGAGAGTGGAATAAACTTCAAATGTTTGAACAATTCCTACCATTACTGTCATACTGAATACGATTGATTCAGAATTCTTTTGGATTTTGACAAGTACTTTCCAACTGGAAAAGAAAAAATGTATTTGTTTGTTATGTTTGTGGTGTTTGCTTTTATTGCCATAGCTGTCTTGGAAGTTATTCTACAGCAAGTACTATTAGGCTAAATTTCTTTTTTCAGATTCCCTACCTCAAAAGAAATGCAATAATTATTCTGAAAAACCTGCCTGAATGTCATTAAATCAAAAATTTTATTGGAATATGATTTTAATATAAAATATTTTTCAAATACTTCAAAATCCTTGGGTTTAGTTGTATAAAAAAGGCTTTGGGGGAATATGTGTGATAATTCTGATGTGCTTATTACAATGCCTAAGAGTCTTTCCACTAGGAAAACAATATTCTCAAGTTGTACAGCTAATTTTCTGCAGAGTAACATAAATAGACTTCCCATTTATGTACATGACAAAGGTATCACTGCTGTTGTGTTATTACACTCAGATGAAGTCTGTGATAGTTCGTGCTTCTATTGGTAAGTTAAAAAGTGTAGTGCCTTGATAAAGCAAATGTTATTTTATTTGTGTGATGATATAAAATCCTAGGGGTTTTGTGGTTATTATGATCCCAGATATATGCATCAAGTGCTTAAGTATTTTTTTAAAATTTGGCCTTTACATATTTTTACAAGCTCCCTATGATTTAAAAACATTGTTGCTATTAGGTATAGACATTTTGATCGCTTTCTTCATAAAGTGTTAACACTATTGTGGAAAAATTGGTACCATGAGACTCCAGGAAACAATGGCTAAGATCATCACAATTTCTTGAAGAAAATGTATTTCTCTTACATATTTTGGAAATTCAGTATATTTCCACTGATGCCTTCACTGTCTTGCAACTTTGGATTGTATTCATTCAATTTAAAAACCATTTCTCTAAAATAGAATTTATGCCTTGTTATTTTCATAATTATTTCTTCTTCTTGTCTCTAGAACAATTGTTAGCTCTTATTGGGGGAAAAAAATAGCGTCAAAATTTCAAATATTTCCTTCTACAAACCCCCTCTTATTAACATGGTATAAAACAAAGCTTACAATAGATGGAATGAAATTGTTTGGTTTCCATATGTGAAGGCTTCCCTTCTAAATGAGAGTTTGATCAAGTCTCTCTGTAAATCCTCAGTAAGCTAAATATAGTTAACTTCATTTATTACATTCTGGAATTTGCGAGGTTGTGCCTCATGGCCTCCACATATTATGTTTACATTTAGCTTTTCAGTTTTTATAGTAGTTTTTCTTCATTGTTTTAAGAACAAATGTCTAATGTTATTCAGATGGCTTAATTATTGTTAACTTCAGTGTCTTGTGTTTCTACTCATAATTTTTTCCCCCATATTTGTGCCCACACATCAAAAAATAGTTAGGAAAACTAACAGTTTTCATATAATTATGAATTTCTGAAAAATATTAATTGCTTATGGAAAAATATTAAAGAAAATGGTAAATAAGAGTTTAATTATCGTAGATGTCTCCATATGCAAGCTTCAGAAATGTTTGTATGCAAATAGGATCATGTTTCCCAAATCTTGATAAAAGGAAATGTTATGAAGTATCGGCACCAAATGAATAGGTGTAATGATTCTGTAAGTGTATCTCGCCAGAAAACTGCTTTTTTTTCCCCGCCTATGGTGATTGCTTAGCAGCTCTTATTTTGTAGCACTTGCAACACGTTTGCTATGAAATTCCCGAATCATATTCTCAGCACAGTTCTGGTTTTCAGCCTCATTATTTTACTTTAGTTTAGGTGATCTATGGGCATTAATCCAATTACAAGATACAGTAGAGTTTCTTTTTCCAGGTTTTGCACTGCAAAAAACGGGATCATAATTAAGCTTTCTATAGCATATAAATGCAGTAAGGTACACAGAGAGGAAAGTCTTATAGATCCTTCTCTATAGTAGCGCTCCAGCAACTCCAAATATGACAGTCTACATTGAGAGCTATTTTATGGTGACTTTGATAGATTTGAACAGGTAGAAGTGTTAGCCTGCCCAAAAGACTTATAAATGCTGACTTTGATTGCATTCAAAAGATGTATTTAATCAAAATAAGATTTTTTTTTTCTTTTTTTTCCTCCTTTTTTTCCCTCTGCATAAGCAAAATCCTAGCTCAGGCATGTTCTCTGCCTCACCTTGGGGTCTTTGTCTTAAATACCTGTTCATAGCAGCGTATTAACAGTGTCACCTAGTCAGAGCTTACTGGTCCTTAACGCCAGCCATTGTGTTAAACATGCTTGTTATGGAAGCCATTTAAAATTTTGCGTAGGGTTCCTTTTGAAAAATAAAATGGCTCTGTGTGTAGTTTCTTCTTCAGTCGTGCATCCAAGATAGTTTCTTGAGGTAAATAAAAATTAGGGAGGAGAATGTGTGGTATTTGTTAAGGAATTTGAGTTTGGAGTGTTTAATCATTTAGCTTGTATTTTGTAAGTTTGTTCATTTTTTTGGGATGTGTTATAGACATCAGACATATGGAACAAAGCAAACTTATGGTCAAATAGTACAGTACACACAATCTGTAGCTCGTGAACTTACGGGAGCTTATTTGGAAGAGTTTGCAATGTTGCTGAGCAGTTCTTCACAGCTCCCACTTAAAATAAACACTGTTTTGAAGCCCAGAAGTAGGAACAAATGACAGTCATTCAGCATATGCACAAATAATTCGTGATGTCAAGTCTTGTTTAAAGGCTTGCTAAAGATCACTGAGTTGAGATCCAAGATGCGTTTGAAAACCATTCAAAAATTACTTCTTTTTTGGTTATGTGGGTGCTGATGAGGACCCAGCACCAACTGCCATTATGCTACTGCTGTCAGAATATTGCTGCTGGTAAAATACAATTGATATAATCGCTAGAATTCCACTATTTATTTATGTTTCTCCAGGGAAGTATAAGTTCTCATTAAAAATCTCATTTTTTATAAGAAATCAGAAGACTGTCCTGGATTCTGTTTCTTTCTTTGGTTAATTTTATTCAAGAAAACTAACGGTACTGTTTGAATGACCTAGTAATACCTAGTAATTTAGTGATAAAACCTAATTTTTGCTGTATTTTCTGAACATTGTGTGCTGTTTTGTAGGCTACACCGGAGAGCTGTGCCAGTCAGAGATTGATCATTGCATCCAGCAGCCATGCCGAAATGGAGGTACCTGCTCATCCAGCATCAGTGGATTCAGTTGTCAGTGCCCAGAAGGTAAACAGCAAAGACCTATCTAGTACCTCACACAAATCGGCGTTTTGTGGGCTGTAGTCTAAATTTTCCATTGTATTTATATATATTTAAATATTTTTAAAATTGTGCCTGAGGCTGTAATTGTAAGCAGAAAAACACCCAGATGAGAAATCTTTGTATAATCAGCAATGGTGTATAGGGTATGGTAGGAGCTTAGTGTTTCAGTGTCTGTCTGGCACAGAAATGTTCCCTCATGCTCTGGCACCTGGTAGAAATCAGGCTCCAGCACTGTGAGAAAGGTGAACGTGAGGAGACTTCGGGTGTGGTCTGATCTTTGTGTTGGCCAGTAAATGTGTGAGAAAAGATGCCTCCCTTGTGGTATTTGCACTAAAATGTGGCTAAGAGCAATAATTCAAAACTACATGAATTCTTTCAATCCCCCCAAATTTTAGTTCATTCTCCTTTCTGTTTGGACATATTCCTTTCTCTACGTGAAAGCTTTTCAGTGATTCTCCTTGGTAAACACTGTAAACGTAACTATGTGAAATGAGGACACCGCCATGCATAAAGTGTATGCCTCTGTAAGGATTTGCTGACTGGAATGGCAGATGCCTAAATTGCTCATACAATAATTATCGGGAGTGAAAGCTCTCAATTATGAAGCCTCCTATTAGTTATTTATAATTAAGATTAGAACCCTGAACTAGTTATATTCCTGTTCTTACTGTTCTTACTTGATCTGTGGGTGTTGTTTTCATTCCACCAGCACCTCATGTTTGCTCTAAGGGTACAAATCTTTGCTAACTGCTCCGGTAATATATACTTGCTTATTAATGAAGATTATTTGTAATTTCTTTAGCCTGACTCGTTGCTTTTTTGGAGTGTTATGCCTTAATGAGTGACCCACTTAACAGCTGTGCTGAATCACAGACACTGACATTTTGACAGCAGTGCAGATCTTGCATTTGGAAGAATTTTGAAAATTGTTTGCCTTACAACTAGTAGCAATATTCAGTGAGAAAATTATTAGATGTTAGACTTCATGAAGAAGTTACTTGCATTTTTCTTAGGAAATCTGTTCAAGGACCTTTCAGGATGCTTTGCAGTAAATGATTTTTCCAATAACAAATGCTTGGTAAAATAGCTACTGGGATTTTTGGCTGTTTTGGAACTGCCGTATTTGTTTCTGTGGGTGGTATACCTTAGCCTCTTGCTCTCGATGACCTGTTAGTGACTACGCTGACCAAACTCCTCTCCCCCCGCCGCTTCAGACGCTGGCTGTGGGACAGGGCTGCTGGCCCCATCGCCCATCCTGCGCCCAGGGCGTGCCGCAGAGCTGCGGCTGCGGTGCGGTGCTGGCAGCGCAGCTCGTCAGTGCCCTGCTCAAAGGCCTCGGAGCCGCTCTCCCCAGGGAGAGGGATGGAGAGGTTACCCGACGGGCCCCTGCTTGGTGTGCAGCGCGCGTACCGATAGCAGCTTGACTGCTGCTGGAGAACCGAGGTACTTGCGCTTCTCATCTCTCAGTTCTACTCGTGTTTGGCTACCTCTGTGTCATGCCACTTGGTCCTATAGCCTTGTGCCTGCTTTGTTTCGTGAATATTTATCTTCTGCTCCTTTCTTTGCTGCTGATCCATATTTGTGTTTGATAAGTTTCCAATTGTTTTTGCTGCGTGCTCTGCTATAGGTAGGCTTCTTTTGGCACAGTCACTGTACTGTCTTCGTCTTTAGGCTGTATGCTTTGCTCCTTTCCCTTCTGGGCACATTAGTGCCATTTTCTCAGTATTCTCGTATTTTTGTTTGTTGGCACTTCTATTCTTATGATGTGTCACAAACCTGCGCTCCTTTTCTGCTTGGAGATGTGGTTTTCTATGGTTTCTGGATTTACCTTAAAGATACAATGTACTTTTTGACCCTTCCAGAGGAAAGAAAATTGCTTCACAACTTGAAGGGGTACCTCTCTGCTCATAGGCTTTGTTGATAGGCAGACGTGCTTTTTGGGTCACCTGTCTGAAACTTTCTACGCAGTGTTGCCAGTTCTGATCTCCCAGTATCATTTCTGTGTTTCCAAGAGAAGCCATGTTACAGAGCGAGGATAGAACTGGGGGCAGAGCTGTTACTCTGACTGCTTATTTATATATCTGACATGCTTACATGGTATAAATGTTTTCAAAAAGCTCTCAGACAACACAAGAAAAAAAATCTACTGAAATACATTTACACCTCTTGTTAAAATCAGTTTTTGTACATTGACCTGTATTACTTCCAATGCAGAAAAAACCTTTAGAGGGCATAGAATCTTTCAGGAATGACTGTCTGGACTGCCCAGAGTTATTTATTCCCCCTAGAAAGAATAGTGTTGTATGCACCATATCTGATTCTCAGTTCCTCAGACATGAGAAAACCACTCTTAGGTTTGCGGGAGCAAAGGACATCTCTTGTGCATGGCTGCTCTTCTTGAGTGAGCCTGCGATAACTCAATAGCAGCCCAAAGGTTCTCCCTGCTCCCTAATGATAACCGTGGTTTCAAAGAGCAGATGCTTCCCGTGAAATTGCTTAGCTGTGCTTCCTACTCATGCCCTCACCATGAAGCAGGGAGAGCGCTGGTGCAGAAGTGGCACAGCCTGTTGGCAAGGGCCGGTGCTGTTGCTCCGGAGCAGCCTGACAGGCGTACCAGGCGATAAGGTCATGCTTTCCCATCTTGTTCTGGAAGATCTACAAATGCCAACGAGCTCGGGAATTCAGATATTTTGTGGAGGGAAAGAAAGGGTTGGTATAACAAAATAAATTGTCTAAATTTACTAATGACTGCCTTTCCCATGATTCTTCTTTTGAGGTATTATCCTCTCATAGAGGCATATTTTGAGAGCTTTTTTCTGTGTTATGAAGAGATTTGGTTATTTTTGTAAATACAACAAAGGACAGTTAATTGAAAATTGCAGATGCAGTAGCTGGCAGATTTGCTATTTTTAGCAAGTCCTCAAATTTTTCATTTAAAAAACCCTACAAAAACCCCACGATAGGTTTCTAATTTAAGTGAAGTCTCTCGCTTGGCTGCTGTTCTCCTGCTGCGCTTGATAGTAATTGCTTGTTGAGAAGAGACCTTGCTTTCTGTAGTGCTAATTCAGCACAGTGGGGTAAGGTAGCCGAAGAGCTTATACATGTGTAAGAAGTAAAAGACTGAAGATACAATGTGGCTAGGCAGAAAAGGATAAGAAAAGGTAGAAAGTATCACAAGGGGAAAAGAAAAAGGTGGCAGAAAAAGGAATGAGATGGAAACAATGAAGAATGATCTTGAGATCATGCATTTCTTTTACAAATGAGATCTGTGGTTCATGAAAGAAGCACGTGATAACTTACAGAAGGTGAGATTTGAGGCACTGAAAAAGCAGCCTAGATCAGATATGAACATTTCTTCATTATTCTTTAGACAATTTTACTGTCTTAAGAGTCCTTTAGTAAAGAAAATTCCTTTATGCTTGCGGATTCCACTTTCTGTGTGATGCATTGTAGATTTTAATGTCCAAAATACAACAGAAAATAAGCAGCTATCTGAAGTTACTGAGTCCCCTGTACTAAAGAGAAAATTGGATTTTATACTCAAACTGATAGTGAAGAAGCTTAAGCAATACTAAGGACTGAAGAATTTCTTCAAAATTTTGACTCAATCATTGTGAAAAGGATGTTTGGGACGTTGTACTTACAATGGGGTAGGGATCTTTGATAATCTTCTTTAAAGTTTCATGATAACAAACATACATTTAGCAAATATTAATGTCAAATGATCATGCAAAGTAATTTGTAGACATTCTAAAAACCACATAGTAAACATCTGTCAACCTGAGCATGGATATTTGAAATTTATGTTCAGAATGATTCCATAGATACCCATATCACTCGTAAATGTCTCCTCTGATTTTCTTCCACTCACTGTAATGTGTAAAATACCACTGCACTGACAGTAATATTAGTTCATTTTTTTGAGTTGATTGGGTTACTGCTTATCAATTTATGAACTTGTTTACTTCAATTTCTTTAAGTCACTGAGAAGTGTAAATTCCTAAAGCACTCTGAAGCAGAATTCAATATACAAATAATAATTAGAAACATAAAAAAAGCTGGTTGGAATAAGCAAATGTAATTGCAATAAATGTTTCAGTGATGGAGAAAATAGTTATCCTTACTTATGTAGTTGTTAAATTCATTAAAATATTTCTCAAAAGTTTAAAAAAAAAGAGTACGGAAGTTGTCTGATCATGTGGTAGGGAAATACAAGCCTCACTAATCTGTTCCTTACACATGCAAATTTTATAAAATTGATAGAATGAAAGACTTGGAATTTGTGTGCATATATATATATTTTACATATTTTAAACATTTGGAGAGCCTTTGTTAATTTTGCTCATAAGGTAATATTAAAATAAATCAATAGTGGAATGTGGTTTTGAACAAAGCCAGATAATACTGAGCAAAGCGCAGATCAGTTGTTATAACAAAGAACTGAACTTCTGTTGCAAGATATTTCTGAAGTTCTGTTGCATGCAATTTTAATGTTCTGAGGATGTGTACAGGTGAACTGCATTCAGTGTGACAGGAAAACATTAATCTTTGATAAAAATAGCAAGCATTTAAGTGGCCAATCACATGAAATTGGCTTGGATTCCTGAGATTTTGCTACTTTCTCTGTGCGGAGGTCACCTGCGCTGTCAGAAGTGGCAGAAACCTTTTCATTCAGATTAATATATTTTTTAAAAGTACTCATCAGCAGCAATGGATTTCATAGCTGTCCTGCAGAAGGAGATAGAAAGAAAACAATGTTATGATTAGGAGTTTAACATGTAGATTACTTGAAATTCACGTTTCAGGACTGCTTTTATTTTGCTATTGACAATTTGATTTGACTAGCTGCAGGTAACAACAGCTGGGCGACACACTGAGCAGCAGTGCCCTGAAATACTTGCAGGTATTTCTGGACATACTGGAAAGCAGCAAATTTAAGAATGTTTTTATTGTGGTTTCTGTGGTTTAAAGAATAAAGAGTTTGACAGCTATAGAAGATGCTAAGTTGTGATTCATACGTGTTGGTTTGCAGTAACAGCCAGAAAACATACGTTGTCACCGTGAATTTTAATTGACTGGGAGAACAGAAGTTGCTTGCCTAGATTAAGAACAGTTTAAGTTTCAAGGTCTTTTTCTGGGTTTCATTGTTCAGGTAAAAGCCGTTTTCTATATTATATCTTGCAGAAGCGATTCTAACTTCTTTAGGTTTACATACAATAAACCGATTTATTATCTTGATTCCAGGAAACTAGGTCACACAGCTGTTGCATATGGAAGATTTCCCAAGGTTACTGGTGATTAGAGAATGCAGAATTCTTCATATTACCATAAGAGAATTTAATTTACTTGAAGAACATTTTGTTGTTAATTAAAAATTTTTACTTCTGTTTAGTTTCTGGTACTTTCTGCTAATCTAATGTTTTTACCTGGCATCTTTCCAAACTGCTTCTATTTTTAATAGACTTCTCCTTAATGCTTTAATGGGTTTAGCCTCTGTTTGTCTTCATCTGTTAAGATGTAGCTACGGTGAATTTCAATAGAAAACTTACAGCTAGTTTTTAGTGACTTCTTGTTTCCGTATGATGAGTATCCCTGCATGAAACAATTTTTATAGGGAAAATAAAAAATTGCCTATATTTCTCTTAATATTTATCCCTGTATTTGAAATCAGAAGATTTTGTAATCCCTAGTCCTAGCAATTCACAGACTTCGTTTTTCACATTTGTGTAATTCTTGGAATCAGGTCTAACATAACATTCAGGCAAGGTTGTTGTCTGCAGACTGTGTGAAAAGCAGTTGTACAGTATCTTCAGATAATGTTTAACTTCCTTGATTTGTACGTGACTCTCTTGCTTTCAGTAGCCTAGTAATTAAAATACCACCATGATGAGAAACCTGGCTTTTATCCAGAGCCTTTCTATCTCTGGAAACATTTTCTGATCTAGTTTCTGTCATTGCCCTGGAGGACTATAGCAATTTATGAAGAATATCACCTGACTTACTACTTTTATTCTTCTTGACAACCAGCCAAATGGTCTGATGTGTGTAAGCACAAATATTGTATTGTGTTTTTTAGGAGTATAAATCTTTTCTAATATTGACTTTCCCCTTTGCCTTCCGTGTTATTCCTTTGGTAAATTTTGTATTCAGATCTTTCAAATCACCAGTAGTCGCTACATTTCAGTCATGTCTCTGTTACACCAATAACAACCTAGATGCAGGGTTGGGGTTGTGTTAGCTGACTGAAAAACAATTCAGGGGATATTTACCTGCAGATAAATAATCCTGATTTTTTTTTTCCTACAGCATTATATTCTGCTTTCAATCAATGCACTGCTGAATTTGGTTTTTAAATTTATTATTTGCATTATTTGTTTTCAACAATTTTATTGATATGGACTTGAATGTACATTTAGAAGTGCCAGATTAATAGATCTTCAATTTAGATGTGTAACTACACTGCTTTGAGTATTTTCAGATATTTAACTCATACATAAGATTTAAACTTCCAGAATCAACTAAACACATTTCACAGTGCAGTCAAAGATAGCACAAGGGCAACATATTTTAGTGTATTTTAAACCTGCATATGTTCTTAAAGTGCTTTGTCACTTGAAACATTAGCCATCTGCCATAAGCCTCTCTTTGTAGGGAAGGTTATTGTAGAAGTTGTAGTGAAGCAGCATTAGTGTCATTGTGTGACCTCGGATCTCCTTGATCCTTTTTAATCCGGTTTCAGAGTTAGTGCAGAGATTTCACCAGACTCATTGGCTGATCTCCTCCTGGTCATAGTTAGAAGTCCTTGCAGATTCTTTTAAATCTGTCTGGGATGTTATGATAACAGTACAGACTATTTTAATTTGTCAGCAAACCATTGCTGGAATTAGATTCTCGATTTTAGGGTTTACGTTCTTTTCTGTTTCTGATGGTTATGCAGTTGTCTGCGGGAGGGACCTCTAATATAGGGTTCCACAGTATCTGTTTTCAAGCTCTCCCTCTTCAGCACTTTTGTCTGGTGGGCCTGATCAAGCCTGTGAAGCAATCCGAGCCGTAGGACAGCAAAATGGAGAGGACAGAAGGCTCTTGCCTGTTCTTTGCCTGTTGCCTGCCAGACCTACTTTTCTTTCCTGGTCTGTTGCTGAGTCACTTATGACTAAACTGTTAAAAGTTCAATCTGTAGGTTGTTTTTTTTTTCCAGTATCTTTTTTTTTTTGTTAAATTGGATTAGTGTTTTTTTTTTTTTTTTAATTCCATAGGTCTGGTGTAAAATTTATGAACATATTAGGGAAATGTGGCTTTTTAAGTCATTTGTTCAGGACCTAATATTATGAGGATGCTCCTAAAATCCTGCTGTCTTCAGTGCCCAAGAATATCCTAATTTTGTCTGAAACTCACAGGGCAGTTGTGGCCATTCTGTCTTTTTCTTATTTACAATAATCCAAGTTTTGTTAATTCTGTGAGTAGATCCGTATAGTCCACTTTGTGTAGGTTACTCACCTATGTTTAATATCCATTCTCCCCTCTTTCTGATGTAGTTCACCACATTTTTGTGGATCTATAAAACATGGAGTGTGTCTCCTTGAGGAGACTCTTAGGATATTTAAAATGCTGGTCTTTTTATTTTGTGTGTGTGTGCTGGAAAGTTCAGCATCTTCAGGCTGATTATCTCAACCCTCACTCACTCCTCAAGCCTTGGGGCTCAGACAAGTTGACAGACAGTACTCACTAGATCTTTCTGACCCAGGTTTTCAACAAATCTAATCAATCAGGAGCAAACTGTAGAATTTTAATCTTTTAGTAAATGTTTGGAGTGTTTTTGTTATGCTTTAAAATGTAAATTAATCTATTTCTTATGCGCTTTTTGTCAGCAATGCCAACTCCTGACTTGCTACCCATGATTACAGGGCTAGAACTACAGTTAAAGAAAGTTACGGTTTAACTCACCTGAATGTGAATCTTGGATAATTAGAAAAGAAAGAAAATCAAAATGCCCTGAAAGTAACCCATCTGTCAAAATTAACTGAAAACTATTTCCTGATGAATTGTACCTTGCTTGAAATGTGGAATGACATTGTTTGTAACAAAAGTAGTTACTGAGTCAGTAAAAGATAATGAGATGCTGTAAAGTATGTACTGAATGTGGTATTTGGTCTAATTTTTGGTATTCCTTGTAAGCTTTATACAATATAGGGGTTCAGTTCTAATACATCAACTGCTTTTAACCTGGAAGTGAGACTTTATAGATACAAAGTAAGGCCAAAAATCTGCTTCATTCCATCAGATACAGAAGTAAGGCCAAAAATCTGCTTCATTCCATCAGGGGCAAGATCTCAATATTGAGTGTTAATCCCAAGTGTCGCCGGCCTTTGTTTGTTTTCATGCTCTGCGCTGCTGGCAGGCTGCTGTGTCACAGAGGCGTCGCCATCTTCATCAGGCTCTCACCATCAGACACATTTTGTGGTTTGCCTTTTTTTTTTTCTTTTAATTTGATTTTATCTCTTTCTGATTAAATATTTTTGAAATCCTAGAATAATTTTTCATGCATTTACTGACTTTCTTTGGTGTGTGAAATGTTGCTACGATTTCCGGGGTCGCAGTGTCAATGTGGTCTGTTCTTCATCATTTAGGCTGGCACAACTGCAGTGGTTTACACTTTCTATTGGAGTAGATTGGTAAAGCTGGCTTGCTGGGTCTTGAGTGGAGTCTGACCTGATTTGCTGCCTAATTTCTCATTCCCGGTGATTAGTGTGTTTTAATTTTAAGAGCTGTTCTGCAATAGAAGATATTCCAGGGAATTTTGAGCCTGAAAAGTGGTGGTCTATATGAATGGACCACATACTCATCAAAAAATATTAGAGTTGAATGGAAAAGATAGTTTGCGTTTTTGTTTCGAGGGGTGCTAGAATTTGAATGTTCTTTTCTGACTTGCTTTCAGGTACAATAACCACACTTCACATTGCCATGTATGTGGTGTATGCGCATGTGATAAAAACTATGGTTAATATACTGCAATTTGTTCAAATGTTATTATTTTCTACATCTGATCAAAACAACTCCTTTGCAAGGATATCCTTTTCTTTATGTCTAATTTTTACATGGTGTTGCTTCAGTAAATCAATGTCTCTCCTGCTAGTAAGAAGTATGTTGTTATAAAAGGTAATCTTTTAAATTATTGAAGCTGAGGTAAGCTCACGTGCTGCTTTAGTGGTTCTTACTCTTAACAACCGCATTAATTGAACTGAAGTAAAGGTCAGTTTTGGCTTTTCTTTTTTTCCAGGCTAGTCTGCTTCTGTTCTTTAGAAAATGTCTTTTGCTTTTGTAGCCAGATACACTTCGTAAAGTGGATAAGCACTGTCAGATTCAACAAATATTTTTGCACTTCACTGCCTTAATCATATGATACTATGATTCTACCTGAAACATCTTATATCATACCAAGCTAATGGGTAAAATTAAAATTTAATATATATAGGAAGTCTGTATTTTTGTAATTTTCATAGAATAAAAAAATAGGAGTATAGATATGTCTGTAGCTTCATTTTAACTTGCTTTAGTTATTAGAATTTTATGCATACCAGAATGTTTACTTATCAAAACCATTTATTTCTTCTAGGGTTTTTAGGAACCTCTTGTGAAGACAAAATAGACCCTTGTGCATCCTCTCCCTGCCAAAACAATGGAACCTGTTATGCAGACAGACTTGCCTTTTCCTGCAGTTGTAGTCCTGGATTTACAGGACCTACATGTGCTCAGCTGATCGACTTCTGCGCTCTGAATCCTTGTGCACACGGCATTTGTCGCAGCGTTGGAACCAGCTACAAATGCCTCTGTATCCCTGGTTTGTACCAGTTACATGTTTTGTAAATCTTCTGATATTTTGTATGTAGATTCCAATATTTAATTTAAAATTACTTCATTTTTTCATTTCAGTATATAAAACACATTGAGCAGATGCTCTATGTGTTTAGAATAATGATAGGAATCTACACATTCCATGTGGAAAATCAAAAATTGCAGAGTGAGCACTGAAAATACCCACTGAGATCCATATGGCTTGGTTGATATCTACAGCTGTATTATAAAACTGTAGTCTGCAGGATAAATCTTTTTAAGGTGAGGTATCAGTGTCCCTGAAATTGCAAAATTTGACAGAGAGAATGGAAAATGTGACACTGATCATTTGGGAGAGAGTGGAAACAAGGTAACTGAACAGAGGTAGAGAAGGAAAAAAAAATAGGTTGCCCCAAAGGGTTTAGTTTGGCCATCCATGTTTCCATGAATTACCTCTTTTCAGACGTCCCAGTGGTACTGCTTGGGTGAGTATAGCTAGTGGACTCAGCTGGTAACTGTTTGACAATATGGCCTTACAGAGCGTGGTATCTGGCTTGCATTTTGCTTAGCTCTAGATTTTTTTCTTCATTGTACCAAAGTAAGAGAATATTGGGGTGCCTATAGCTCCCCTTATACATTTTAGCAATGATAATAGGTAAAGTAGCACTTAGAATGAATATCATGTGCTACTCATCTGCTACTGCTTAAGCACTTACAGAGTGAAAACCAATAATCTCTGTTTTCATTTGAATAATTTTGGCACTGTTTTTTGAAGTCTGTTTCTATAAAGCTATACACTTGAAAACTGCAGATGTTAAGGGGAAATAAATAAATTCCCAGTGTACATGGGATAAACTAAGGAGTTATACTGCATAGTTAGTAGCTCTACATATACATAACACTGTGATATGCATGTTGTTTTCTGAAGTTCCTTTCAGAGGAATACCTTCTCTCTGCTGCTTTGCCTTGCCTTGTGGGAAACCAGTCCCAGTTCTCCAGCTCTTTTCCCTTCCTTCTCAGTTAGCAGGATGTGCAGGCATCCTATGGATCACAGAAGTTTTGCCTGAAGCAGGCAAGCACTTCTATATAGAGGTGGTGAGTCTGAACATTAGTACGTGCCACATCCAGATATTTTGGTTTTTAGCCTGTGCATAGAAAGAAGACAGCTTCTTTCTCTTACAGAAAGAAGTTTCTCCTTTTCTTCCCAACAAAGAAGCCCACAATCTGTTCCTGGAACACTTCAGATTAGGATAATGAGGCTTAGGACAAAAAGAAAGTAAAATAACTGTTTAATTTGACTTTCATGTATTATTGGCATTTTGAAGAAGAAAGACGTCACTGCTTTATGCTTCTGCTTCTTATGGCTTTAGAGCAAGGTGAAATGTAGAGAACTCTCCTATTTTCCTTGAAAGGAGTAAGCTTTTATCTAAGATTCTGTAGCCCATAAAACTGGTATCTCATCTGAAGAGAGGTCCCTGAAGACGCAAGAAGTACCAGCTAGTGTCTTTGTCTTGAACGGTATATTGAGTGCACACTTCAAAGTGTTGCTTTCAGTAACTGACGTGTACCATCTTCAAGAAGATTCCAGATGTGGAGACTAACGTTTGAAACGGCTTAAGGATGAAAGCACTCATCACTTTGTAGGAATAATGGATTGATTTTTGAAAATAAGCCATCACTCATTAAATCAATAAATATGGGAAGAACAGGTTTCAGCGTTATGAATACTTCATCACAAGGCTTTATGTTGTGTAGCAAGATTCTGACTGAGGTATGCTGTCCTGAGAGGAAGGCCACAACATCGCTGGGTCGTTTCATACTTTTGTTGCTGAAGTTTTCTTCTTGCAGTGTTTTGTTTTTAGGAATGAAGATACTTTTAGTAATAGGTTAGCCAACTGGCTGTATAGTACTTAGTGCAGTTACAGAGTCTGTGCATATGTAATACGATTATCCTGATCCAGAGTATGATGTAATAGTGAAGTATGTTTTGACTAAATTTTGTAAAGCCTATTGAAAAAAAGGTAATTTTTGGAATTCAGTTCAGTGAGCATTCCTAACTTTTCTAGAGTGTCTAGTTTTCTTCCATGGATTCTGAAAGGTCTGAATTTAACTGGTACAGAAAACACGAACCTTCTGTGCATTTTGTGTTGAGTTGTTTCTCCGCCAGAATGGATTCTTTTATTTGTGGCTATGGGAAGTTTGTAATGAAATCTACTAATGCAGCATTTTTAGAAGGTGTCAGAATTAATCACTGCTATTTAGAGACACAGAAAGGACCATCAGAAGTTGTTTCTGGAGAGGTACTCACAAATGAACAGAAGCTTGTGGAAATTTGTAGATGGGATTTGACAGATTTGTAATTAAATTACAATCTTTTTTATAAAGGAGAAAAATATGAAACTGAAATGCAGACAATATCATAGTAGTGTCATCTCATAATTCATTTGCTGTCCAGCAGATGTGAATTTATACATACAGAATTATGGGAATCTCATGTAAGAGCTTTAACCATTGAGACGTATTAACTTATTTAACAACAACAACAAAAGCCTCCATTTTATGGACAGTTTTTCAGGAAGCATCCTCAGTTGTTCTGCTTGCAACTTTTCAGAAACCATAGGGTAGGTAGATTTTTGTGGCGAGATAGGTCCAGATGTTTAAGTGACCTCAAATGTTTTCAGCTCAGATGTTTCTATGAACGGTGTGGGCATTTTTCATCTGAAGAATGGCGTTATGTGATGCAGTAGAGTATTTCCTAATGTGTGGTTTGTTTTATGTATTTCAGGAGGTGAAGATGATAATTCTTTCATTACAAATTTTCAGTCTTCCTTTTTGAAGTGTTTAATTGCTTTGCTGTTCCGTTTGCATAATAGAGGAATCTTTAGAGAAAAGGATTGTGTATTGAGATGAAGAGCAACAGGCCTAATCATATATAAATAGAGCTAGCATATCCTGTCTCATTGAGAGCAAAAACTAGAATTCATATCAGTTGATAATTAGTTCCATATCTGACAAAATATCTTTTTGTTTGCAGGTAGTTGAAATTGCCAGGTGCTGTTTTCCTAAATTCATTTTTAGAATGGAGAATTTAATAGTTTAATATTTACTGCTTCATTTGGATATTCGTCTCCTCACCCAGCCCCCAGAAGGACTAGATAACAGAGGGAGTGAACAGGAAAAAAAGGTTTGATGTTAAAAAAAAAAAAAAATCCAGAAAGACAGGGAAAAGAAGCACTCAGCAGCTAGGATGGGTTACTTGGCAACAGCAACCTATTCCTTGATTGGCTAGAGAGTATTTTAACTTGTTTGGATTCATAACAGAAAGCTGCTGTTTTTCTGGTTATTGAATAGTAGAAGCAGTTAGGGCACGGTCAAGAAAAATCTCTACAGAGGGTGGAGAAGCTGTTGAGATGAGGAGCTGCCGAACCCTGGAGAACAAGGAAAGTGATCAAAATATATCAATGTGTTTTGATCTTTAAGTGGGTTTTAATATATGACTGAAACCACAGTTGACTGAAAAAAACAGAGATTGATGAAGAGCATTTTTAAGACTATCAGTATGCTCTGGGAAGTTTTGAAAAGAACAGGATTCAAACGCTTTGAATTGTAGAAATCAAAACACAAGAAGAGATATTCTACCTTTGTATAAGTGATGGGAAGATAAAGTCAAGTCAACAGAAACATGAATTTCCCAATTAGTATAAAAAAATTTTCTTCTAAATTTCTGTTAAAAAAAAAAGGGATCCTATTTCTGAACTAGAGGATTAGGAGCTGACCAGCGCTAGTGCCCCTTCCTAAGTCGTCCATGGTAGGAAAAACTAGACATTTCTTTTCCAAGTAAACCAGGGAAGTTCTAATCTTCTTCGGCATGTTCTTTGCCTGTGGGTCAAGCAACAAAAAGCTAGTTAAATATTCTTCAACAAATAAAAGCTTTTTTCCTGAAATTTGTCACCTAAACCTGATTTGAAGTTGTTGGTTAGGTTTGTTCAAATTAATCCTGTGTCTCTCAGGACTTAAAAGTAGTGTCAGACCTCTCATGTTATGGAAAATTATTTTTGTTTTAATAATATTTATGCATTTAAAAGTTAGCCAGATGAGAAGCCATAGAGGTTGCATCCAAGATCATATATGGCACTTCTTCAGTTGAACTCATTTGTGTTGGTCCATGTGTGAAATTTAACAGGAAGTATTTTTTAAAAAAATTTCTTTTTTCCAAACCTTTCCTAGACTGCTGTAAACTTCACTGTAAAATGACAGATTGTTTTAGGAGGAATTCCCTCTACAAATAGCATTACTTGTTTTATATAGAAGTGCAACTAAATGCCAAATTATTTGAGTTTGTCATTAATTTGTCAATAATTAAAAAACTCGGATAACTCATTTCAAAAGATCATTGAAGAACTGCACCTAAGTGGTAGCAAGATAGAAATAGTCAGAATCATTTGTTACCTTCTTTTATGCCTTTTCATTGTTATGAACATACCATTATGGTTTTTCTTCCTTTTTTTAAGTCATAGCAGCAGAATTTGAACCAGAGATTTTCCCCATGAGTTAAAGGGATAGTAGATAAATGGAAGTTAACTTCTGTGTAGATCAGCATTTAGGAGGGATCATAACACACTTTGCAAGTGGTTTGCATAATTATTGCATGTAAGGCAGATAAGAGCGATTAAACTTGAGGATTCCTAGGTTGAAATTTAGAAAAAAAAACCCAACAAAAAAATAAAGTAATGACTATAGAGCATGCCCTAACACATTTTTGGTACCTCTGTCAAAAAGCAGTTTGATAAAGTGGATGAGTTATGTCTCTGGTATATTAAAAAGCTGGATTCTATTTACAGTTTTGCCTGCAGGGACTTTGATGGTCTCTGCTACATTACTTGTAAAGTGCATGAATGAAATTTTTTGTGCAGTTTAGCAGCATTATGAAGGCTTGATAAGAAACCCGCTGAACTACATAAAGATATTACGATACATCAGTAGGAAAGGGGTGATCTCTGCCTCTTG